CCTATAAGCCCTATAAGCCCTATAAACCCTATAAACCCTAAAGCCGTAATGATGCCTCGAAGGACAGCTGCTCCGAGGCCCATGCCTCCGGCCTCTGCCTGCGCAGCGTAGCTGGCGGCCATGGCGGCCTGCTGGACCAAAGAAGGCCTCGGCATTTCTTTTTTGGGGGGGGTTCCGATTCTTAGGGGTACCTTCTGTTGGGGGTCCTTGTAATAAGGATCCTAATTTATATTTGGGATGCTAGACTCGGGCCGCCCTATTGCAAACTTCTTCCTCACCCGAGGCTTTGGGTGGGTTTGACTGACAGCCGTTCGAAGATCCAGAACGTGCAAGGGCTGTTAATTGCTGGATACCTCAGGTGCGGCCTTCACTTACCGTTGGTTAGTAGGGGATGGAAGAATGGTAGTAGCTATAATGGTACCCATTCCTCCATTCCCTACAAACCAACGGTAAGTTCAGTCTGGGAAGCGTTTTGGGAACCAGGCCAATGCTCCCCATCACCGCGTCGTTCCTGGTAGGAGCTGGGGGCTGGGCTTTCAGCGAAACTCCTTATCACGGCTCAAACCTCGAATGCATCGTCAAGCCGAACCCAACCCACCCTAAACCATACCTGGGTGGTTGTCAAGAATTAGGGTCCCTTTTTCGGTACCCTAAATAACAGGTGCCGTATTATATTGAGGATCCAAAAAGGGACCCTACCACCCACCTAAACCCGAGGCTCCGTCCTCCCGTTGGTTCGTCTGCCGCGCGTGGCCTCGTTTCATCATGGCATCTGCCTGGCGGACCATCACGGCCATGATGCTGACAAGAACGCATACGCTGACATGGCCCAGTACGTATGTAAAATATATATGTATATACATATATGTATATACATATAGGTATATGTATATGTATATGTATATGAATATGAATGAATGAATGCATGCATGCATGGATGGATGGATGGATGGATGGATGGATAGATGGATGGATGGATGCATGGATGCATGGATGCATGGATGCATGAATGCATGAATGCATGAATGCATGAATGAATGAATGAATGAATGAATGAATGAGTGAGTGAGTGGGTGAGTGAGTGAATGAATGAATGAATGAGCGAGTGAATGAATGAACGAATGAACGAACGAACGAACGAACGAATGAATGAATGAGTGTATGTATGTATACATGCACATGGATATACATGTACAGATACATAAAAGTATATATGCAGACGTACATACAATCATTCATAAATTACACTACATTTCATACAGTCCGTTACATTACATTACGCTACATTACATTACAGTACATTCCATTACATGCATATATGTACAGCTCATTCGAGACCAAACAGCTCCGGGCTATGAAACCAAACTCGCAGGGTGAAGCAGTGTGAGCCGTATGTACTTCAATGTAGAACCCTCGCATTATTAACAGAGGGTGGGGGTTCGTCCTGGCTGGTAACACCGCTACAGGTACCTACGTGAAAAAGGCATTTTCAGAGCGATCCTACATGAGCCCACGGAAAGGGGATTGATCAGGGGTCTACACTACGTAAAACAAACACGGCTTGGGTTGGTTCCCCGTTAGAATCTAAACCCAAAACCCGAAGCCCCTTTTTAAACCAGCCAGAAACCCCTAAGCCCTAAACCTCTACATGAAACATGTCTGAAGGACCATTGAAGCGATCATGGCGGCAGCCTGTTCCTGCACACTTCCGGTGAGACACAAGCACGCTTGCAAGGAAGGTGTAGGGGCTTAGGGTTTAACATCCTATAGTAGAAAACTGTAGAGATAAACTAGGATGAAAAGGCATACTGTGTGTAATCATTGCAATCATTCTGACCCCAAACGGCCCGGCACCTGAACCAGCATATCCTTGTCCTGTGAAAGCCGTTCCTCCAAGAACGCAGTGTCCCTTCACTGAAATGTCTGGACATCGTCCGACGACCTCGTGTCAGAGAGCCCACTGCTGAGACCCCAAGCCCCGAAGTTGTTGCCAAAGTAACTCGCAGTTGCTTATGCAACATACAGGCAGTGGAGAATCTGTGTTGCATAAGATATACCGTCACAGAGCACCCAGACAATCTTAGGATCGCAGTGCCAAGCTCAGCACTACCAACCATCACAACCAAGATGCTTGACAAGCCACTTGGGTCAAGAAAATCACCGTAGACACCAAAACCCAAATCCCCCCAAACACAAAAACGCTTCTCCTGCTGGCTTGTCGAGTCGGCAGTCTTCGAGTTGAGCCTGAGCCAGGACAACAGGATGGTTTTGCCTTTAGGCTAAACCCCAAACCCTAAACTCTGGACTGCCTTAGGGCTTTACCCATAGGCCCCAGTTCCTTTTTGGGAATACCTTATAGGATTCTATATATGAACCCCAAAAAGGAACTACTTTGGGGCCTTAGGGCTTTAGTAAGGGTCTGGGTTTGGAGGGAGCCTTCAAGCGAGGCTGCTTTCGGGTTTTTGCTGGTGTAGGTTTGGCCTTGAGGCTTCAGGGCTTAGAGTGGGCCGGTAGTGGATGTTTAGTTACAAGGACTCCAGGCAAGAGGAACAAGAAATGTTAAGACGCTACTTGGTAGCTTCGAAATCTGTGGCGAGGCGATAGCGGCGGCCACATGCGGACGGACTTCGTGCTGACTGTCGCTAAAGTACGAATGATGTCAAGCAGGCCCAGCAAAAGCATCATGATTGGGAGCGTCTACTTGGTGTTCCACACAGCTCCACTCCAGGAAAAGCAGTGTGCCTCCCTGCTACAAAGCAACATGGCTCAATTACTATCTTTGCCAGTGTCTGTCTATATGTGTATATATATATACGCATGTATATGTGTATGTATATGTACACATATAATACATACATACTTACTTACTTACATACGTTTAACATATATATATATATATATACATTTACATACATGTATAGAGGGTCCAGTCGCCAACTTCCAAATCAATGCGAGCCTTGGCAGAGACGCCGCCAGCTGCTTTGCCTGCCCCTCCAGATCCTTCCGCAGCTGAAGCTGCCTGGAGCTGCAAACGTAGGGTTTGGGGGGGTGTATAAGGTTTAGGGGTATGGAGGTTGGGTTGACGGAATCAGACAATGTATGCGGAAGGCACATATGTAACCACGGCCATGCAACATAAATTATCATAGCTGCATGTAAGGGTGCAAACCTGCACATATCTTCTACGTATGCATAAATGCACGCATGCGTATGCTTAGTCTGCACAGCTGCTTCCACAAACCTTCGCACATGCCCATGTGCAGCAGCAGGAATGTGAGATTTAAGCGGCATGATGCTGGAATGCACGGGGGAATTTGACACAGTCAGTGATAAGACTCGAGATCGTGGCGACCGCCACCCTCATTCTACTGATCATCGCCAGCTGTATTATCAGCATCATCCAGACACATCAGAACAAGCCAAACCAAAACCTTAAAGCTCTTGAGCCATGATTGTCATTTCCTAGTATAATGCACTAAGTAATAGGATCCTTCTTATATGGACCCCAAAATAAGATACCACTGATTGTTGGAAACTCCCATCTCCTGTCGCGCCTCATGACCATGATGCTAAAGACCTCATCGCCTCGGGCGGCCTGGCCGTGAGCAACAGAGCGCTGCAGGGTACCACTCGGAAGTGCGACTCTCGTTCAGTGTGCAAAGACGAGTATCTATCTATCTACCTATCTATATACACATAGCTTATGTAGTTTTCATAATTTCATAACTATATTGTTAGAAAAAATACAATATAACTATAAACACACATATAAATGTAAATAACTCTCTCTGTATATATTACACCCTGAAGTGTAGCTTTTCTGGGAGCTTCGTGGTCTTCTTCTGCCGGCTCTGCTGCTCTATGGACCGACCTCTCGGCTTCATGCGCCGCCCCAGCTGCAGAGCGCAGCAATGTGCTGGAAAAGCACACTAAGGTAAAAGCCAGAAAGTTGGAATATGATTATCCTAACCCTTCTATGGTAAATTATAGGGTATCCTACCATGAAACCATATTCCAACTTTCTGGAGTTCCCTGTATGCTCTGGGATTGGGGTATACTGGGTTGGCCTTTAAACACTCTGAAAAATATTTCTATATAGGGTCCCTTATAGACACAAATGAAGAAAATAAAGAATGTACCAAAATCCAACCTAGTATAGGGCTTTGGGTTTAGGGTTTCGACACGCACACTCGCTCACGCAGGCACGGCTTCCAGGTCCCACTGCTACCGTTACTACCGTGACATGCCAACTCCTGTGACCCCCAAGCAGCAAGTAGGGTACATACCACAACAGGGGCAAAGTAAAAGCAATGGATAGCATGAATAAGAGAGGGACACAGTGCTGGCTGTCAAGCTGTTGTCGGTCTTAGATGCCTGCCACATGTTATGGCCTAGCGGCCTAGCACCACGACGACTCAGAAAGTGAACTGTTTCAAAAGACAAGCTGACGGTCAGCTTCTCCACGATTTGGGTTTAGGGCTTCGGGTAGAGTATGGGGTTTTGGATGATACTATGAAATTCAGGCCTTCCGCAGCGAAGCATCCGGGGGCTGCGACCTCACTTTCCAGAGAATACAAACCGAAGAAGGGGCACGATAGACACTCGTAGCCTGAAGAACTGTACATCTGTATATCGCACATACAAACTTCAAACAACCGTATGAACCCGCTTAGCTTGGTTGGAAGACCTGGTCTTCTGAATTCTGAACTTTGCGTGGGCCCGACGAATGGCTATAGACTACTAACCACTAACCCACGGCTACAAATACTCCCACTGCTGCTTCTACGGCTACAGCTGCTGCTACTGCAACTACTGCGACTACTACGACGACGCCTCCTTCTACACTGATGCACTGTTGCGACTATCACTGTTACCAATACTGCTCCTCCTGCTCCTGCTGCCGGTTGCTGCTGCTACCTGAAATACCACGTGGCCAGGCCGTGCTATATCACCCGGCATGTCATGAACATTAGTTAGCATCATGACAAATGGCTAAATCTCTATCGAGCAGAGGGGGAACAATCCGAGCCGTCGGCGTGCTTCTCGTTGTCAGAGACGGCAGGCGCTTGGATTCCAGGGCCTGGACGAAAAACTGTAGAGAGGAATAAAGACTCAGAGCATTCTCACGGAACTAAACTTTGCGGTACGCAGGGTGCACGAAGCTTTTGAAGGCTGTGCTGTCGGCGTCGCGAGTCTGAGTCCACCACAGGTTGGGACTCTGTCCGCTTTTTCATTGTGTGAGCTGCCTCTCAAACGCAGCCGAATCTCTAACAGCACAAGGACTCAAAGCTTTGTTGCTGCATGTTACGCCGTTCACTTTCATCTGAACAGCTGCCTCTTTTCGCCGCCCATGCCTTCCAGAGGCCTTGCAAAGTCTGTGGACAGCACAAGCGAATTTATATGGGGGCCTTAATAACTAGAATAGGGTTTTGGGGCCCATGATACTGTAATCGTAATAAGGACCCATCAAATTAGTATCGTTAAGTTTACAGGCCCCTATATTACCGACTCAGAAAGGATGTGCGACGTAGACTTCGGGACTCTTTGGCATCCTCTCGGGTAATCTGGGGCTCCAACACTCATCGCGGCACAGAGTTAGCGATAGCCTCGATCGACCCAGAAATCAAGAATCACTCCACTGCACTACATACTACATACTACATACCATATATACTATATACTATATTATATACTATGTACTATCTTACCTCCATCGACTCCAACTCAAAGGACAGCTCGAGAATTCCATCATCCTCAGCGTTTCGGATATTCGGCCCGGGAGCTCCGAGGCCCTGTGCCCACGGGGGCCGTCATCTGCAGAGCTTTCGCAGCTGCAAAAGGCAGCCTAGAGCCCTAGAGGAATTACGATTACGGTCTCGGGTTTAGGACTGAGGACTTAGGGTTTAGGCTCTCCGATTTAGGCTGAGGGGTTTTTCTTTCGTCAGAGAAGCGCCGAAGTAGGAAAGGAACATGGGTACTGGGCTTATGGACGAAGCGTGGGCCCCTTGTTCGACGAGTAGCTGTGGAGCCAAGATCGGACAGCAAGTGATGTCTTGCGCGAGATTCCAGCCGAGTCTTCTCAAGGAGTCCCTGCGATCCCATCGGCCAAAGCCCCGAACTTTGGAATTATCGCATATGCATGTGTCTGATACAAGCACAAGAACAAGAGGCTGGTCGACATATATGTATATCTGTCTGTCTCTGTCTCTGTCGCTGTCTCTGTCTCTGTCTGTCACTGTATGCGAGTATGTATGGGTGTATATGTATATGTTTATATATATATATACACCATGTAATTATGAAAGTCGAGTCGAGTGCATATGATATATATATATATATATATACCTATATATATATATATATATATATATATATACCTATATACACACACACACACACACACACATATATATATATATATATATATATATATGTAGGTATGAATACATGCATGCACGTCCCTATGTTGAAGCCCGAAAAGCTTAAGGCATCCTCTCCTGAACCGATGTCCAAGGCGCGAGTATTGCAGACCTGGAGCACTTGTAAGACGTGTAGCAATTCCCCGACTGAAACCCCTAAATCCGCATAAACCTAAACACTTGTAAAACTTATAATGCCCCTCTCCCTTGCAGACATCTGAACCCTGTGAAGTCCAGGGCTCATGCGTCTCAGCTTCTTGAAACGGCTCTCTGAGAATCTAGGCGGTCTTCCCCAGATCACAAATATCCATAGTTAGATTAAATTTCGGGTTTAGAGTTTGCGGTCTCATAACTTGGACTTGCCAGATCCTCAGTTACCTGTAGGGATTCAGCACTTGCAACTGTGACATGCTGTTACAGTCGGATACCACGAAGGTGGAGCCACTGGCCCTGCAAGCGAGCAACTGCATACTTACCACCATGTACACATGAAAGCAAAGCTGGAAAGCCACGTCTTGGGCTCAGCGCAGTTTGGGCTAGGGTTTCAGGTCTAGGGTTTCGCGGTTTTGGATATGAAACTCGGATTTAAACTTAAACAACATGTAGTTAGATTCGTGCTCCAAGCAAATGGAAATAAGGTGGTCGCAAAGACGTGGACCAGGAAGGCGCGTGGTTGCTGCGGCTAACCCGTAGGGAACCGGCCGAGCTGGAGCCTACCGACATTGAGAGGCTGAGCGGCGGGACCTTGCAGGACGGGTGTCGTCGCCGGGGCCAAGCGTGAGAAACTCCCCGCAACTTTCGTGAACTGATCGGAATTTCCTTACTATAGATGCTGGAACTCTGCTTCAAGCCACGTGATCATCCGAGGTCGGGTCCACAGAGGTGGACAGGCAGTGGTCCTGGTTATTCGGGCTGCCCAGCGTTGAGCGAACCTTCGAAAACTTTGAAAGGGATTGGCGGAAGATTGAACCAACAACGCCGGTTGGACGTGACTTTTCTAGAGCAGGATTCCTCTTTAAGGCTTTCCTTGAGACTAAGAGGGGCGCAGATCCAAAATGGGATCTCAGTTTAGTGAGCCATCCCATATTCAGACGCCTGCTCGAGCCCATGATCTCGGCAACTAGTAGCGGGGACCCGAGGTCCCTGCAAAAAGTCATTCGGATGTTCGCTCGATTCCAGGCGCAATAACCTCTACGACTCCTCGAAGCACCTCAATGGCAGCCAAGAGAGTGCAAACGCCGCCTCCTTCTTCGGCGTACCCGATGGCGGCGACCTGGTTGAGCTCCTGGGACGTCTCTCTGTCTACACAGTTGGTGTAGCAGTCCTCGAAACCCCCAAAACCTAAACCCTCCGAACCCCAGCAGGCAACATTCTGCCTCGCTGGACGACACTGGCGCCGGAGGCTCGCGAGATTCTTGGCTTCAGCCTCTGCAGTCCACTGCGGTAAGGCAAACTATAATAAGACTTCTAAAGGGATGCAAAAATGGTACTATAAGGAATACTGTAATAAGGGTTATAAGGGATATTCTACGGTAAACTCAGAATGTTACGCTCTCACAACTCTGACGAGCCAGGAGAGGTTGCATCGGTGCGGGTCGGCGTGGTACAGATGTTAAGATTTCGCCATTTTCGCCCATTTTACTACCTGGTAGCAAGGACGAGGAGCCCGCATCGCAGGGTAATTCTGAAGGAGAGTTGACAGGAAGCTTTAGAATATCAAGGATTGGAGTTTAGGACTTCAGGGTTAGAGCCGAGGTTTTTAGGGTTCTGGGCCCATAGGGCTTAGCGGGCAGACTTCGACGCTCCTGTGCCTCGATGTCCTTGAGGTCGCTGGGCCCTTCGAACTCGAGGTCATCTGAGAAAGAACTTCGACCTGATAGTAAGTTCTAAACGACATGCCATCGTACACGGTAATTCAACTCAGGGTACTGTACTATGCTAAAAACCTACGTACTACAACTTACCAAAACAATCTCTATTAAAGCAATGTACTCAGCATGCCTTCTTGGTGTTGGGTTGTATCCGTCGAGACGGTTTAGGGGCTACAGTATGCAGGGCATGGGCATGTACAACCAGGCAGCCGTACGCAGATACATCCTAAAATGGGGCTCATGACTCATGATCATTCAAAAAGAATGGGGTTTGGGGCCTGTCATGTTGTAACTATCTTGAGGAATCCCGACGCATACTATTGCTGAGTGTTCCGGTTCCAATACTGAAGACAATTGCTTGGCAGCCGCACTTTGAAAGTCCATTGGTGCCAACGCATCGCGCTTCCGAGACTGTCGGGGCTCCTCTTTATCGCTCCAGATGTGTTCTTTACGGCTTTACGGGTTTATGCATGTATATATATATATACATGTATATATATATATATATATGTGTATATATATATATATATTGATATATATATATATATATATGTATATAATGCACATGTGCAAATGGTCCGTAGAGGTCTGCTGCAAATCTCGCCCAACTGTCCGTGCTTTTCTACTAGTTGCTGCAAGACCGGTGGGATGCTGGTCATGCCGTGTGAGGAGCCCAATGACGGGACTAATTAGTGACTAATTATGGCTTGAGCCGGAGCGCCAGCAGGCCAGGATGCACGATGCGCCAATCTAAACTTCAGACCTTAAACCCCTAAACCTAGACGGGGCCACAGTTGACATTCTCGGCTTCAACTTCTTCGTTGAGAGGGGGGATGAAGGGAGGGATGATACCAAACCTGCTTAGGCACTGCTTATACTTTATCTGGGTCAATGCTGAGTCTTCTTATTTTGAAATCAGGCGTTTGCATGTGCGTTGTCTGTGAATGAGGGCTGCTGACAAACATGTTCACATACCTGTTGAGGCCCAAGCCTGCACACAGGCGCACAGCACAGTCGACAACATGCAGAAACAAATGCAAGAAGTCATTCCGTCCACATTGCGAGTTTCGGGTCCTGTAAGTCAACCCCGCCCCTGTCTCTGTCTCTGTCTCTGTCTGTCTCTGTCTGTCTCTGTCTGTATCTGTCTCTGTCTGTCTCTGTCTGTTTGCTTTGCTTTGCTCGGGGATTGAAGCAGGAGCAGTCCTCCGTCTGTCTCTCTGTGTGTCTCTGTGTGTGTCTCTCTGTGCGTCTCTCTGTGTCTCTCTGTCATATTTATTCTCGACAGACAGACAGACAGACAGACAGACAGACAGACAGAGACAAACAGACAGAGTCTGTCTGTCTGTCTGTCTCTCTGTCTCTGTCTGTCTGTGTGTCTGTCTGTCTGTCTGTCTGTCTGTCTGTCTGTCCCTCTGTCTGTCTGTCTGTCTGTCTGTCTTTCTCTGTCTGTCTCTGTCTTGGTGGAGTACTTGTATCAGTTCTCTTCGTGCTGGCATCATGAAGACAACTTCCAGTGCTTGCAGCGGCAAGTGGGGAGCTTCCTGCAAAGTCAAGGCTGAAACTACTTAGACTTACATGTCAGTGAGTGCTGGCATGCACAGCAAGATTGGCAGGCCAGCAGGCCCTAATTTTCAACCCTCAATGCCCACAAGCGGATCATAAAGGTTGCGCAAAACCAGTAGGTCTTCGTCAGCTGCGCTCAAACCATTGACGGGGAGGCTTCGAATGGCTTCGACACCAGGCTGCGCTAAGTGCTCCCTCATTAGTAGTTCTATAGTCTAAAGTACAGCCTACGAATAAGTTTGAGGGATGTTGGAGACTCTTGGCATCCTTTTTCGGTGGGGCTGCAAGGCTCTCCGCAGGAACCAGCGGTGCCCATGACTGCAGGCCACGAAGTTCCTGCACACACCCGAAACGCCTCCCTCGAAATCTGCGTCTTGAACCACCAAACTTGCAACCCTAAACCCTAAAACCCTCTCTCCGAGAAAACCTAACAATGAGGTGCTAAGATCAAAGCAACTCTGAGGCTTGGCCTCATCAGGACGAAGAGCCCAATCATCCAAAGGGCGAGGAAGGTCGATTTTTCGGGGGTTCGGTTAAGAGCTCGGTCGTTTCCTCGGAAGCTGGGAGTTTCCGAACATAGGGGACCCTAGTATAGCACCCTAAACAGAGGATCCTTATTACAACGACCCCAAAATAAGCCGTGCAAACACATTTCCTTCAAATGCTGTGCTGCCGTGTCCTCTCGAAGCTGGCGGTTTTGCGCAGTCAGGCGCTGCAAAGCCTCTTTGGAGTCTTGCTGATGCGTACTGTAGTGGCCTTAATAATTAGAATAGGGCTTTGGGGCCCAGTATACTATGTACTTATAATAAGGAACCCCCAAAACAGTGTTGGTAATTCTCTAGGCCCGAGGCCCCCATGTGGGCTCTGTTCTACTGTTGTCTGCGACTGAGTAGGATGGCTTCCTTCGTTCAGCGATATCATGAGCGAATTTGGGATTGCTGCACCATTCCATCTCGCTTCACATCTAAGACCCCCGCATCTCGCAACTGGGCATCTTCAGCCGTGTCCTCGGAAACGTGCGATCTCCTCTCCGTGCTTCAAGAAGCATCATAGGATCGTTAGGATGCTTCATTTCGCACTGGCAGTCTTGGTGACCCCGAGATGCGCACCGTATCAGCAGCGGCCGAGTCTCCTGTGATGCAACTCGCGGGTTCTTGAGATCATGGCGGCCGTTAACATATCCGGGGTATTCAGCAGGTGAGGGACCTCTACAACATCCTAAATCCTGAACCTTGAACATCCTATTATTTGGGACCCCCACAAGGATGTGCCTCTGTTCTCTGAAGACCTCCCCATATGCAACTACTTAAGAATCTTCGCTGGTATCGTCCTTGGCGGCAGTGACCAGCCCCACCTTACTGCCGAATATCCGCCATGACCTATGATGCATCTGTCTTTGCCAACAAAACACAAACAAGTCTACCCTGAACTCTAAGCCAACACACGATAATGTCATATAGTTATATATATATATATATATGTGTGTGTGTGATATCACAGTAATATAACCCTCAAGTGGCATCTCAGACTGGTGGCCTGGACCGCTTCGCTGCACCTGGGACTGGAGACTGCTGTTCATGTCCTGCAGGCGCGGCTTCTTCTGGACGGCTTTGGAGTTTTTCGACGGTGGGATCTGGTTTTGACCTGGGTGTCATGGAGCAACCCTTTCAAGATACCCGTAGATTTAGTGATGAGTCCGAGGGAATAAACAGGAGAGGCAGCTGCTGTCATTCTATTGACCAGGTTGACCAGGTCTCTTCGGGACAGACATGTTGCTACTATTGACAAGCGCAGTGCTGTAAAAGGGTGCTACTCCGTCACCCCGCCGCTGCTTCTCCGATTGTCATGCTGACGAAACTCAACCTCACATCCATGTGGGTGATCGCAGACGGGACGCTGCAAGGCCAGCATACGAAAAGTGGGGAATTGCTATTTGCTGGTCTTGCCATAGTACAAAACTATCGCCGAATGCCAGGGTCAAGCAGAAGCCGGGTCCATCAATCGTCGGCACTCATCCTGAAGCTTGAACACCTTGCAGCGCGGGGTTCTAGTCAATGTGCCTCTGAATGTCGTTCAGAGAGCCCTGCTATTGAGCCCTATGCAGTGTACCCTTTTGAAGGAACCGTGTTATAGAAGCCTATCGTAGCTTGAAATCAAACCCTGTTATACAACCCTACAGTATCCTTCCAGGGGTCTACCTCAGGAGACTGGGAGTAGGCTTCGGGGTTTCGTCGAACTCTACAGATATGCGCTGAAAGCTCAGAAGCTGACCAAAGACGTGCTTTGAGCTTCCATGCCAATCAGCCACCCCGAGCCGCAGCCCGAAACAGCCGCGTGAAACCATTTTTAGAGCTTTGAACATCGTCTTTTCAGTGCCGCACACTTGCGACATGCAGAAGGCCACTGGCCTTGCGTCCCTCTTTTCTGCAGATCTTGATCACGGGTCTTTGTCCCGACAAGGCTCTGAACTGGTGCAGCCGGGGCTGAATTAGAGCCACTCTTGGAGATGTTGGCAAAACGAAGTTGCTGACCCGTGCGACTTCTATCATAGAATCCTGGATTTATGGGTATCCTGCAAAAGCCTACGTATAACAATGGCAGTAGACTGAAAATGACCACAACTACGGATAATGATGTTGCTTAGAATGGAAGTTATGTTAGTCATTTTTGCAAAAGAAATCAAACGAGCAAACTAGGACACGACGCAGCCCTCCGTGGCTTCTGCGACGGAGCTCACCGGCCTTAGTTTTCAACATGGGGACCCTACAGAAAAACGAATTGCTCGATCATTGGATGAGCATTTTCTGATGTAGGTTTGTTTTGAAGCCTACTTAGCAAGGACGATGCCCTCCATTGCCGGGGTAGCTTACTTCTGGCTGAAATCACTTCATCGTTTGCATGAAGTGACGTTTATCGATAGGGATTAATGATGTGGGTTCTGTGAACCTTTTTTGGCTTTGGGAGTGGGAATTATCACGATTCCGGATTCGTCTCTGGGATGAGAAGTTCTGATCAAGGCATTCGTCATAAAGACTTCGACTATCCTGTCATCACCTGGGTTCTGCGCATGAGACTCCTCTTGTCGTTTACAGCACCTTCAGATTGAGAGTTGAGGACCGAGGGTCTTGTGGATATTCTTGCATCTGACTCTTGCCCATCTCGGGGAAGCTCAACATCGTGTGTGCCGAAGTTTCGGGCATTCTTCCTGAAGTCATTCGGCCCATCAACGCAAACCCCGCAATGCAACAAGAAGCCAACAAAGGCCTGAAGGAGTTTCGTGTGGAAGTCCGGGAGAGGGGTCCTGTATGATCTTTGGTAGGGAGAAGATCACAAAACAAAAACTCAAACAAAAAACCTCACCCTTAAATCAAAAGCCGACAGTCCTGCAGCGCATAAGCCTGCGAACCCTAGTTAAAAGCCCACACCCCCCAGAACATGAGACATCCGTCGTCCGAAGTTCGCATCACAAAACAAGAAAGACTAAACCCCCAAATCCTAATTAGACTCTGCCCTTTTCAACAGGCCTGCAGCGAGACTCCACCCTGAACCCTGTTAAATCGTACAGGTTCAAAACAGGTGAGGGGCAGCCAGCTCTGGCCGCGCGCGGCCTCGGATTCCCTGAGGCGGCGCTTCAGTGACGGCCGTGGAGCTGGCTTCCTCAGAGTTTATCGGGCTTTAGGCTTTTCTTTCAGCACTCAAGACTAGGACAAGCCTGGCGAGGTCCCTGAGGCATTTTAAGCCTTTAGGATTCTAGGGTTATAAGGCTTAGGGAGCTAGAGTTCTAGGATTACCGGTTTGCAGGGTTTAAAGATCTAGGTTTG